TGATGTAACCCCCGTTTTAGCTAAATTTTTCCTTTTAGATTCAACTTCTTTCTTCCCTTCTTTTGTGTCCAGCTCTTTTCTTGGTTTATCTTCTTCCTTCTGGCCCTCTTCATCCTTTTTAAGCTGCTTTTTAGGTTGTTTTTCCTCTTGCCCCTTTTTCTTTATTTTGTCTTCTTCAGTAACCTGAAGGACAGGGCTGCTTTACCATTTTGCGCCTACCTCTTGGCTGTGGAATCTTGACTTCTGTAGCTGCAGGTCGTCCTCTTTTAGGACTCACTTTTAGATTAACAGATGCTGTTGCTGTTGTCACTACTCCTGCCTCCTCCATTTCTACTTGTTTTTCTGCCTTTCTCTTCCTCCCTCTTCGAGCAGCTTTGGGAGTGGTTATGTCAATTGCCTTAGTCACGTCTTCATTGCTTGTTTTTTCCTTCATGATCAGTATCTTCCTTTGAAGCACTAGTTTCTTTTTCTTCAATTTCAACATCAGATGAAGTGTTTGTTTAGTTGATGCCTGTTGACTTGAAATTTTCACTTTTGGATTGTTATCTATCTCCCATAAACCTTCATTAAAACCTTTTCGTTTATTTGGTTTGCCATATTTTTCCTTATTTTCTGAGTAAGGAAATATATCCTTTGGTCCTAAAAAAGCAGTCTCATGAGTTCCAAAGAAGAAAACGGGTAGTTTGTTTGTGGGTGGCTTTACCGCTCCATCAGGAACTTCATCCCCTCGAGCTGGCCAAGGAGGATAACCTTTCATCTTGGCGAAGATGAGGTCTCCAGGTTTGAAATCGCGAGTCATGTTTCAGGGGCGACGCCGGGGGTCCGAAACCCAGGAGGGGAGGCCGTGCGGGCAGCGAAGGGATGCGGAGCACGGCCGCGCGCTGAAGCCCAGGAGAGGAGGCGGTGAGGGCGGCGAAGGGATGCGGAGCACGGCCGCGCGCTGAGCTCTGGGCCAGGGGCGAGGGAGGATGCCTGGGGTGTCCCGACGCACCTGCTGCGGCCGCGGGCGCTAAATACAATAAACCCAAGAAGACCTTCAAGGCACATCACAGTCAGATGTGCCAAAACACCAAAGACAAGATACTAAAATTGGCAAGCGACTTATAAATGATATCCCATCAGGCTAACATCAGTATCTCCTTGAAAACAATGCCAGCAAGGAAAGAATGGAAAAATATGTTCAAAGAATTCTACTAAGTTTTATTTCTTTATTTATTTATTTATTTATTTATTTATTGTAGAGTTTTTTTGTTTTTTGTTTTTGCCCTAGGGCATATTCACTCACTAGAGAGAGACATAGAGAGGGAAAGTGAGAAATCATCCCCTTCCCCCAGGCCAGAAATCCCAGGAGTAGAATGCAGGAGAAGGGATTGTGGCCTGGCCATTCCTCTTTGGGGTGATTCCTTATTTTCTCTCTCTCTGTCTCTCTTCAGTGTGCACATGTCTTCTGCTCTTATGGCAAAACAAAAACAAAAACAAAAACAAAAAAAACTAAAAACAAAACAAAACTTAATGAAGAGAATTTGGAAAATAAAAATATTAAAATATCATCTTTGATCTTGCCATTGGCAAAAGACTGTTAATCCCTAGGGAACCAGCAGTTAGCGTAATGGCTATGTCGCTGGACTCCCACGTAGTCAACTGCGGTTCGCGTCCCGGACCCGGTGGCTTAAAACTCACGCCGGGCGCGTGTGTGTGTGTGCCCAAGATCCTGAGAGGAGAATGGAGGAGAAGGGATTGCAGCGTGACCATCCCCTCTGGGGGTGATTTCTTGCTTTCTGTCTCTCTGTCTCTCTCTGTCTGTCTGGTGAGCACACACGCCCTATAACGAAAATCTCTCCAAAAAAAAAAAAAGACCGTTAATCCCTTCTCCTTCATTTCTCCTCTTGGGGTTTTTGGGTATACACACATGTACTTGGCATGATTTTAAAGCCCCCATGTCTAGGATTTGAACCATGATCCTAGGTGGGATCCAGTCACCTTAACCTCCACACCATCTCCTGGACACTTAAGCTACTACATTTTAGAGTGATTCATTACACGATAGAGGACTAATAAGCTTTCCTTCTCTGAGGCAGAAGATCAGAGAATGACCAGTGAAGACATGCATGGTATGGAAAGGACCAGAGGCAGAATACCTAATACTCTGCTTCCTTTGTAAAAAGAAAACATAGAATCTGCTGACGTGGCTTGGTGAGTCTGTCAAGGGCTTAGAACAGCCACAAAGAAATTAGGAAAGGGAATGGACTAGAAACACAAGTTTTTGCTTTTGTTGTTCGAGCATGCCTTCCTTTAAACCAGACCCACCCTCCGAACTCACCCTTCCTAATGGAACTAGACCAGATTGACATAATGAGCCTTCCTCTCCAGGGTGACATTCAGAGCCCTTTCAGAGCCGGCCCAGAGACTGCCTTGGGGGCAAACTGCTGATGAGTGAGGTCAGGCCCAGATGGATCAGGCTCATCTCGGAAAAGTACTCTCTGCTGTCAGAATGATTTGCAGCAGTTAGGTAGAGTCTAGCATATTATTTATGAAGGGAGATGGCGTGTCAGAGGAAGGTATTCTAAGAGAAACACCAACAAGCCTATGTGATCTGCAGTAAGCACATCACAGCAAGGGAAAATGCAGTCCTTCTCGTGTATCAAAATTTATTTATTTATTTTCTCCTTGGTCCAGTGCCTTCAACTCTTTCCTGTTCCACATCTTCCCCCCAACCTGATTGTCAGCAGAAGCATCTTGGGATATTTCCTGACTTGGCCAGTCATCCATTTTCAGTGTGGAGCTACAGCACCAAAGGGACCAGGCCAGAACCGCCCTCCCCTAAAGTGACTTTGAACATACTGTAATAGCTCTGGTCTCTCTAAAACCCGCAGGCCCCGTAGGAACTGAGTCACTGGATCTTCCCATTCTCCTTAGTAGCTCAAATTCTTTCTGCACTGATTCCATACCAAACGCAGGGAGCCAAATCTTCACACGAAACGGTTGCCTTTTGTACCTTGCTCAGTAGGACCTGTTCATTCATTCATCCTGTCACTCACTCAGCTATTCAATTAGTCAGCAACTCATCATGCAGTGTCCACTTCATAAGGGGACAGCCAAGAATTAGTGCTGAGAATAAAAAGATGAATAATGTGATCTTAAGGAGTAGCAAAATGGCCTGGCACGTAGTAAGCTCTCAATAACAATGTGTTGAATGAAAATTAATTTCTGCCCTCCTTGAGGGCTCTACTAAGGGAAGGAGGCATAGAAACAAAAAATTAAAATCGTAGGCCAGCAGGTGGTGTTAAGGTCCTGGATATCCACATGTCCAAATGCTGTTCTAGTCCTGAACCCAGTGGCTTGGAACTCATGCCAGGCACATGTGCATGCATGCCCAAAATTCCAGGAGGAGAACGGAGGAGAAGGAACTGCGGCATGACCACCACCACCACCCCAGCCATGATTTCTCGCCTTCCCTCTCACTGTCTCTTTCTGGCAAGTGCACGCACCCTACGGCAAAAACCTTTTAAAATATTTTAAAAAATCTTTTTAGTGCAATAGTAAGGGAACTGACCAAGCATTATAAATATAGAAGATCAGACCTATCTGGAAGTTAGGAATGGTTTGATAGAGGAGGGAACACATGATCTTGAAGAATAAAAATTTTGGAGGAAAGGACAATGGGAAAGATCTTTGCAGGCAGATGAAAACTACCGAAAGGTCTTCTTTCTTAGCAGAATTCTCTTTGTCACTCTAGTTTGATCCTAACTTGCTAATATCAATATTTACCAGTATTTTGCTGGGCTTTCATCCTTTTGAGTTTAAGTTTGTTTTGACTTCCAAGGCAGTGATGGGTTG